AGAGGTGAAACAGGGAGGTTCAGTATCTTTTCTTTGCTCACACAGCTGGTCATGGAGGAGCTGGGCTTAGCCTGGGTCTTGTAGGCTCTTAAGGGCACTCTGTCTACTCCTGCTGTGGTTTGAATGTCCCCTCCAAAACTCATGTTGAAACTTAATCCCAATGTGGCTACACCAAAAGGTGGTTTCTTTAAGAGGGGTTAAGAGGATTAATCCACTTATGGATCAATGGGTTAATGGGTTATCATAGGAGTAGAACTGGTGGCTTTGTAAAGTGGAAGAGAGACCCCACTAAACATGCTCTTGCCTCTCACCATGTGACACCCTTTGCCACCTCAGGACTCTGCAGAGACTCCCCTCCAGGAGGAAGGCTCTTACAATATGCACCCTTGACCTTGAACTTCCCAGACTCCAAAGCCATAAGAAACAAATTTCTTTGTAAATTCTTTATGAATTACTCACTTTTAGGTATTCTGTTATAAACAGCAGGAAACAGACTAGAAACTCCTCAGTCTGTTTGCACACCTATTGGCTTTGTTCTATCACCAGGGACAGAGGACCTAGAGCCATGGTAACCATGTGTTTTGGATTTTTAAGTAAAGTACCAGCTTCAAATCTTTTCTCTCAATACCAACCAAAGGGCAGATAATGAATCCCAATTGTTTGGAAAATGTGACCCAATATCTTACTTCTAGTCTCAATTCAAGTCATCTGCAAAGCAGTCAAGGAGTCCATGGAAAGATGAACCTCATAAAAAAACATTTATTGAAGACTTTTGGGGAAGTTTAGAGTAAGCTGTTGAGAAGAGAAAGAGTCCTTTGCAAAAATTGGCCTAGAGACCCAGGTCTGAAAACGACACTGGTTCACCTAAGTATTCAACAACAGGAGAAAGAGGAAATGAATGATGGGACAGCTTAGTCACTGTTACGCTGTTCTTATGTGTCATCTTTTGGAAAATATTAATGTGGGGGAAATCTTGTGGCATATTCAGTGAAAAGAGCAGGTTACAGAATTAAACACCCTACAATCCCAACTTTATAAAAACTGGAAGAATAAAACATCAAAATATTAATAGCAGTTATTGAGTGGTAAGAGTATTTTGCTTTTATAGTTATGTAACATATTTTCTCTTTCTCCCACAATGAATATGGATTATTATTACAATCAGAGCCTCACCAATAAGGTGAATAGAATGAAAGGAAAGAAAATGCTCAACATAGAGGGTTTTACTTGGGTTGTACATAAGCAAGGAGGCCTCGTGGAAAAATTATGCAACTTGCAGCCTCATGTAAGGAAACGTATTCTCTGCCTTTCTTCTCTCTCCCGCTCTCCAGTGAGACTCTGTTTATTAGCCCTGACCTTTTGTTTCCTCTTCTCTTTCTGATGTTACTGGAGGATCAGCTTAAACAGATGTGTTTGCTGAATCTGTGAACTAGAACAGTTTCTGAGTATCCCTCCAGCCCACTCCCCTGTGCTTGTGGAACTGCACAAGAGAGGAAGGGAAAACGAGGGCAAGAGAGAATCCCCTGTGTAGCTGCCTTGCCATGCCTAAGGAGCTCCACTGTGGTCCAGATGTTTCTGCTGCACTCAGGGCTCCTCCTAGGTTGGGATCCGGCCGGCAGCGGCTCTTTTGCAAGCTGGTTGTGTGAATTTCCTTCCTATGACTTCATTGCATATAAAGACCTGCCAGCGCTCCATGCTCCACGCAGTGCAGCCCTGGGTGATGGAAACGCCTGGCATAGGACTTCCACAAGCTCTGCGTGCTCTTTAAGACAGAGGCACTGCAGAAGCAGCACAGGGCCTGAAAACCCTGACAGAACCCACACAAGGCAAGTGGGCTTATAGTGGGCCATGTGGCTTAGGTGGGAAGTAATGATTTTCATGTTTTAAACTTTTTAAATCCAAAAGTGTAATTTTTTTCTAGCTGGGAAAACTCATACATGTTTATTGTAAGTTTCAAGTTTTAGAAATCTAGAGCATTTTCCTTCCATTTTGGAGACACAGAAAATCTTTCTAGAGTTCCTAATGAAGTCTTTATTATTTTTTTTAACTCACTTTGATGAGATTAAATTGTCCCCACAGATCTCTTAGGGGCCAGCTAGGGTTTGCATCATATTTAAGATATGGAAGGAAGGTTAATGGTGTTGAACACAGGTGAGGGGCTCAAGCTCCCCTTGTCCTCAAAGAAACTAGTCCGCATTCTCCCACTGGGCTCTGAAGACTCCTATAGAGCAGCAGGGTTCTCCTGGATTCCCCGCCGTCCCTTTATGAGCCTTGGGGAGACCCTTTCTGTATCTCAGTGACCTGTATAAAATGAAGATTATGTTACCCATGTCCCAAGATAGTTGAAATTATGGATGTAAACCTCATTTGAAAATAAGAAATGTGTTACATGCAAAGTCTTTGTATTCCTTCTATGATTCCACAAGTGTCTAGTGGTGCCTACAATCAATATTAAATATTTTTGAATGTCAGCTGTTGTGTGCTTAACACTGCAAAAGAGATTGTGGAAAATGGATTAGAAAAAGACCTGGTCCAAGCTTAAAGGAGCTTACAGACTGCGTGAAGACGTCAATTCCCATGGTACACACCAGCCATTAGTTTAGAGGGAAGACCTTTAGGGGTTAGAGGAGCAGGGAGCTCCATGTTGGCTAGGCTGGGTATGAATGGAAATAACAGGAACAAGTCAGCATACAAAGGAACAGAGGCTGGGGAGGGGGTCCCAAGACTCAGGTAAAGCTGAGTCCCCCAAAGAAAGAATGTATCTGCATAAGCTGATCTTTGCACCCTAATGTCCAACTGTGTGCTCGATGTGTGTCGTAACCCGCTGATAAGGTGGTAGTGAGGAGGAAATGAAAAAGAAAGTCTATTTCCAAATGTCATGGTAACTATAAAAGGAAATATAAAGGTGTGTTTTTATTTTAATATACTTAAAAAAAAAAAAGATAACCCAAGTATAGAAGTAACCTTTTCCTCTTGAATTTCTCAGGGCATTAAATGTGGAAAATTATCCAAGAAAATGCATTTTTAAATCCTAAATGATTATTTATAGAAACACTAAATAAATAAAACATTTGGGGAAAGGAAATGATAGGATTGCATGCTTAGAAATTTTATGAGTTTTGCAAAAAGATAGATCAATCAAATTGTAGGGTGAACTTCCTCCACCTTGAATTTCAAAGCACTTATTTTCAGCATGGTTTTAGGTTTTTTTTTTTCTTAAATCTTTCTCCTAGTTTTTGAATGTCTGGCGCGAGGCCCATTCAACCTAGCTCGTTAACTTTGTGCCATTGATTTTAACGAAGTGGGAGGTTTGGCAATGAATGGAGACCATGGGGCAGAGGGATGATGGGACAATAATAATGAAAAATGCATATTTATGGACTTCTATGAGGACAGATTATTGATTTAGTACAGCTTAATGGATTCTACATTTCAAAAAATTTTCTTTAGCCACCTTATAGAATTATTTTTCAATTCTTACATGAGTTTCAAAAGCTTTTTTCTCATGGTTTGTAGTGCCTATTAAATTGTTCCAGGATTATATGTTTGTTTAAACATATATAAATTGGGGGTTTTTTTTGGCAAGTAGCAGTTTAGATTTTTTAAAGCCTATGCACGCAAGTGAAGCCAGTGGGCACGAAAGAAACCAACAGTAAAGCCCGGGAAGTTGTCAACAGGAGAGTCTGTAAGGGTTATTCAGATGCTATCACAGTATCCATCAGTCTGATTAGTGGGGACTTTCTAAGTGGGAAACCTATTTGTTGGCATAAGTAATTCTCCAACAAACCTCAATTTAGTGCATTCTCTAGGTCAGGTGGCATCCAACTTGAGTCTACTACTTAGAACAAGGCGGCTTCAACCAACTCTGCCCCAGTAGGACAGAGATGTGTGGACAGAAAACTTGACAAGAGAAAACCCGGCAGGAGCAGAGCAAATGGTCCATGTGGGCCAGTAGAGGGATCCGTCCCTGCCTGGAGCAGAAGACATTCTGGGAATATCTCTTAGGGATCTGATCCTCAGCCTGCTTGCTATGTGTAATCAGACTTCCTTTAGATGGTCACCAGATTCCTGACCAAACTAACAAAATCTGCAGGTCTAAGACTGCAAGTAATTTTGTCCTGAGGATGTAAATGTGGTTTTGGAATTTGATAGGTTTAATTCAAATGGATGTGGAAATCACATGGGAAACTCTGGGCACTGGGGGTAAGACCTGCCATTTCATCTATTTGGCCCCATTAGAGTTTCCATCAGGGCTCCTCTGAGGAATTAGGAACATTCTCTTGAGCAATGTTGAGCTGAGGAAGTCGTGAGTGTCTGCTGACCAGGAGAAGAATGACCTGATGCTCTAGGACAGAGGTTGGCAAACTGTGGTTCATGGACCTGTGAAGGTCATTCACTTACTGCTCTCCTTGACTTGGGAACCTAATTTCTTTTTTTTTTTTCCTTTTGTCTTTTTTCGTGTCCGGCAATGGATCGCAACCCTCAGTGTCGCGCCCGTACCGGACTGGGACCGGCAATGGGATCGCAACCCTTGGTGTTGCATCTGCACCTTGCTCAGCCAGTGAGCGGGAACCGGTCTGTATGTGGGATCCGAACCCTCGGCGGGAGCGCCTCCACGCTCTCAAGCGGCGCACTGTAGCAGTGCGCCACCGGGCCGGCCCGGGAACCTAATTTTTGAATGAGCAGCCATTTCAGGGCCACAGGAGCCAGGACTCCTTACAATGAAGAGGGGAAGTTTGCTCCTTTCAGGGCTAGAATGTTTTGGAAGTGATTTTTCAGGTTTTTAACCATCGGGCTATTAAAAGATCATTGAAACTGAGTCAGGGTGAAGTGAAGACATTTAAATGGAAATATTCATTTTCTTACAAATATAACTTAGTTTTCCCTCTCCAGCTTTGAGAAGGAATATTGGGGTGGGAAAGGGACAAGACGACGTGAGCATTTGATGTTATTACCAATCCTAAGGAGTCGTTGCAAAGCATCTTTGGTCCAGTTCCAGTTCATGAAACCTCACATCCCCTTTTCCACTCTGACATGTCTCTGCCCTCGCAGTGTTTCTTCCATCCTTGCCTAAGGAGGAGGCAGAAGCAAGAACAGCAGAAAGAAGCATGACAATCCAAATATCCTCAGGTTCAAAACCCACAGCTAATTAACCAAAATAACCAGCGGTGCCCAGGGTTGAGTTTCATTGGTTTCTGAGAACCAAGAACTCTATCCTCTTGCCTTGTTAAGACTTTTCTCTTCCCAGTTTTCTCCTAATCATTACTGGTCTCAGCAATAAGTAAACAACCTCTGTAAGGATGGGCCATTTAGTTAAACACCCACATCTCTGCAAGTCTGGGTTCTCCACGTGGGTGGCCTGTTGAGCAAGCTTCCCTAGAAGCCCAGCAGCAGGGCCAATGGGAAGAACAGCTAAGCAGTGTCCCATGCACCACCCAGGGAAGTTTTCTGCGATGTTATCATGTAACAGCCATGGTCATTCTTCTCTCAGTGATGTTTGTCCTCTTTCCCCACAAAAAGTTGCCCTCACCCTCTAAATCTTATCCAAATCTAGAGCAGACTTATGCTCTTTTTTCTCTGGTGTATTGACTTGAAAGACTCTTTCCAATGCACCTTAGAAAGTACCTCTTTCTCCATTTTCAGAAACACCTTCCCATGAAAAGCAATTACCAATTATCCTGACTCAATCCCATCTCTTTTCTCCGTGCTGGTCCCTTCTATAATGTTCTCAGCACACCCACACACTGGTGGACAAGGTCACATTCACATTGCTGGCCCACTCTGAGGAAGCCAGTTTGTCAGCATCCACTGTAGCCATGGTGAATAGACGCACTGCAGGTTTCACCCATGTCAGCCAAAGTCTCCAAAGGAAAGACTCTTACCAATAGTTCATCCCTTCTGTCTCTTTAACAATTTTCTTGGCACAGATAATGGCATCTGTGAGGTCATCAGTGATCAAGGCTGTAGAAGAGAGGAGGTTTAAGTCAGCTGAGACTTTGTCCTTTGGGGGGAGACTCCAGATCACTTTTCTCGCTATTTTTAGAAAAGGAGGGTTAAAAGGACTGTGACTCTACAGAGCCATATTCTCATTTTTGTTGAGCTTCTTCACAAATACAAGAACTTTTTTTTTCTTCTTCCCAAAACCATCCCCATCTTGGACTTTTTGAAGTTTTGGAGGAGTAGCTGAAGGGTTTTTGGAAATGTGTTTAGAGAAAACACAATAGGAGAATGTTTTTTATGTCCTAAAGAAATACACAAGACAGACAGGACAGTACAATATTTCTTCCACTTGGGTTAATTTGACATGGAAGATCTATTCACAGGTAAATATTAAAATTTTGCCTATTGCAATTTTTCAGTTTGTGCCTTTAAAAGCCATTTATGCAATGCGTTTTCATATGCAGAAATTAAATTTTAAGTCAAATACACCAATCTTTGTCATTACTGTGTTTCCTATTGCTTCAGACATAATAAATCCCTCCACTGAAATGTATCAGTTGATATGAGCTCCCTTGCCTGCTTGCCTGGAAGTGGCCTTGACATCCTTCTCAATACAACATGACAGAAAAAGGCAAATAAATATAAAAAGTCCAATGTCACTTCTGTTGTGAGTTGGGTTCACCAGGAATAGTGCTGAGAGGGGCTTGGGAGTACAAGATATCAGGGGTCCACACCCGTGGAACAAATGGAAAGGAAGCAGGACTGGGCAGAATGAGATGTCCTCTTGTGATGCAGACCCAGCAAAGCCTCGACCAACCCCGGAAGGAGTTCTGGAGTGAATAATGCCCACAGAGTTGCCCAAGTCAGGCCCAAATGGCCAGGTCTATACACCTCTGCCTCACTCAGTCACTGGGTGTGAAGCAGCTCTCAGTAGCTAAGGCAGACCCCGTAGGGGGTGGCAGGTAAAATGTCTGCTCACCACTCACATGCAGCCAGGGCAACATATCTTCCCTTAGCGGGCATCTGGGCAGTCTGTCTCCCAGATCACCAGTACCACCCATCCAGGACAGAAAAATCCAAACCACTTGATAACATTTTTATCTATTAAGCAGAGATGTTTTCAAGAATAGGGTAATGAATGCTCCATGTGGGCAAAGGGTCAATGACATAGGCACTCTGGAGTCCATGCTGGTGGGAGTGTAGAGGGTCCCCTCTTTAGGAAGCAGTGTAGCAGCAGGTGTCAACAGCTGTAATGAGGTCCTTATCCTTCCACCTAGTAATATCTCTTTCTGGATCTATCCTAAGGAAATAATCATGACTCTAAACAAAGATTTATCTACAAAGTGGCTTACCGTAGCTTTATAAGAGTTAAAATGGAAAAAATTGAATTGCCTCATAATTAAGAGTGTTTAAATTAATAATAATACCTCCATATAATAAAATAAGAAGCTAGTTAAACCATGTTTTCACGGACT